AATATTAAAAGAATATCTTTACTTCTACTTATAAAGTTATGTTTTTTTAACTTTTTACATATTATACTTAATTTATTAGTTTTAATATATTGTTGGATGTAAACCATTATCATTTTAAAGCTACAACTTTTGAACAATTTGTATAAAATATTTATATTATAAATTTAAATATAACATTATAGGACCAACTTAAATATAAATTTTATTTTAACTTAAACAACCCTTAACTTCTACTTATAAAGTTATGTTTTTAACTTTTAACATATTATAGTTAATTTATTAGATTTATTATGTTGTTGTATGTAAACCATTATCAATTTAAAGCTACAACTTTTGAACAGTTTGAACAAAATACTTAAACTTTTAATTTAAATATAACATTACAGTGTCAACTTAAATATAAATTTCAGTTCCAATTAAAAAACCTAATGGATATTTTGTGAATAGTTAAAAGTGATAAACTGTAGTGATAAATGCAAAAACTAAATTATAATATCAATTTAACTAAAATATTTTCTAAAGATATTTGTATAATCGTTAAAAGTTTTCAAATAAGTAGCTTAAAATAACTTACAATAACAATAGTTAAAAATAACTCTATATAAATGATTATATTGGTACCTTTAAAATCAAAAAACAATGTATGGTGTTTTAAATAATTATAATGATAGAAATTAAAACGTTAAGAAAATAAATTTTAAAAAATTAATTAACAATAATAAAAACTATAAATAATATTAAGCCATATATTATATTTAATTTTATTCATGAGTAACTCGCGGGTAGAAGTCATTCAAACGGTTGAGATTATATAATTATAATAGATGTATATGTTATCATATAATTCAAAATAATCAATATTTTATATCAATTTAGTATACAAATTATTATATTAAATTTAACAACAACGTTATAGTTTTATTAAAAAAAACATATATTTGTAAAGATTTCAACTATATAGGTGTTTCTGCGCAACGCGCGAACATTCACCTAGTTATAGTATATATATGATCATTTTGTCTTGTGGGCCTAATCGAGCTTAGTGACGCAGGCTCAAGATCAAGTTCGTTTAATAAACGAGCCTAATATTAAGAGTCGAGCTTTTAACGAGTCGATCTCGGGTAGCTCACAATTAGTTTGGTTCGTTCGCACCGCTAATTGTGATTCTCATTTTGTTACTCAAATTTTCAATTAAACCGACTATCTTTCTTTTTTGTGTTTCAAACTTACAATATTAAACAACTTAAATATTATATAATTACCAATGTTTGTGCAAATGAGAAACTAATTTTACCGTTAACTTCTTAGTCTCCGATTGATACTTTAATATATGGTCGTCTAATTTCTAATTATATTGAGAAATGACCTTCAAACAATAAAAAGAACTCTATCTTGGTTAATATTAATTAAAGTATTTACCTTTTATAATGATTATAAACAGTTTTTTTCTAAACTCTTGCTTAGTATGATTATGATGACAACTATTAAAAAATAGAAAATTTCAATCATATCCTTAAAAACATTTAATATTACTTTTATATCTTTTACAATAATTAACATTACATATATATCTATTTCAAACTATAAGGCCCGTTTGGTGGATTGAATTAGGTGGGCAGAACATTACTAAAATTTTTGGGAGGTGTTTGGCGTAACCTAGAACAAGAACATAAGAGAGCTTTGACCAAGGCAATGCGATAATTCATTTAAAAAACAGTCCCACCAAAATTGGTAGATTTGAACGGTACACGTTGATTTCTTTTCTATGTTGGACGAAACTATCCCTCTTCTGAACGTGTCTCCAGCCTTCATCTCAAGATTTCCCGCTATACATACATGATAAATGATTATCCGATAATCATTCAAACCCATTTTGATTCTCACCAGCCACGATTTCTCATCAGTGCATTTGACTTCATCATCCGGGTATGATTTTTTTTGAAGTTTATCTCTTAAGTTTTGGGTTTATTGATTTAAGATAACTTGTTTTGTTATGTTCCAGTCTTATCAAATTCAATACAAATTATTTGACCAGTCCAGTCCAGTCAAGTCCTGTCGTGTTTAGTCCAATTCATCTGCCAAACGGTACCTAAAATTCATATTTATATCCAAACTTATAATTTTATTAGGATTAATTGAAGTTAAAATTAAAAACATATTTAAAATTCAAAATTCTATATCATATTACTAAAGTACCCTTCCAAACTAAAGATTAGGATTACACCTAATTAAATATTAAAAAACTTTATTTTTTATACCCTCTTCTCGTGGCGTTGTTTTTCTCATCTTCTTCTCCACGATGTCGCGTCTTTTCATCCCAAGTTACAGACTTGCGCTTCTTCTCCCCCTCTTCATTGCAAGTTGCAGAGTTACTTTTCAACATTCGGTTTTTTTGGTATTCAGTTAATTAATTGGGAATGAGATTGCTTTTGGTGAGCTATGATTCTTCTTTATATTTGATCCACCAACTTGCATAAAGTACAGTTTGCTGTGAGTATATGATCATATGTGCAAATATTTGGAATTATATGCTATGATATAAAAGATTCAAGGTTGTTACTTCCAGTCCCAGATGGTTCTGTCCCAATTTAAAATCCAAATCTATTGCAAAGTTCTTTGTTATTGTAAGGCTCACATCAAAAGTATAATGCTAATGGTGCTCTTGTTACTTAAATGTTCTAGGTGCTAGGAAATTTGTTTGCTTATTAAAATCCCCCATATAAAAAGTTGGATACAATATTGATGGTTTTGCTCTCAATATACGCTCTGATGGTTGGTTTGTTAAAGTTTGTAGTTACTGTGAGTCCCTCATCAAAAGTACATTGCTATGTTTTGGTGCTCAGAACCGAAAAAACTAACCCTGTTATCCAAAATTACCATTGCATTAGAAGGTTAACTACAACAAATAGCAATGCACTTCTATTGATAATTCTTGTAATCAGCCCAAATATGGGTTAAATGCGTTTAAAAGCAATATACTTTCATTTTTTTACTGAAATAACATATTTCTCACATGTATTATAAAAAGATTACTTCTATTTTTAAAATATTTCAAACTAAACCATTGTACTTTAAAACTACATTGCTATAATTCATTGAAAGTAAATAGAAATGTACTTTAATATAGATACAATCACAGTTAACCCACATTACTATGAGCTTAAAAACAGTTAGAATGCTATTCAAACAAAGTAAATTACTATACTCGTGGGTTTCAGAAGATATAGTGCTACTTAGTTATCAGCTGCATCATATAAGATCAAAATAGAATGATATAAAGTTCATCATAAAATAATTTATTTTTAAAGTTTTCTAAATCATAAGAAAAAACAACAAAAAGTATGTTAAACGTTTGAAAATAAGTATGAATTCAATGCAGTCAGCTTCAAAACATGAAAATCCATTAAATCGAAAAAATTGGTACAATATCCCCAAAATATACATTTTCATTGGATTAAATGTTCGTATTAACAAAATAGAGACTAAACATAATGGTGTGGTGGAATATATAAAATAATACATGATAGTGGTAAATGCAAAGATTAGCAATATACATGATTAATTGGAGGCTACAGTGCACTGAATCTCCTTAAACAATAAGCACAGTTTTGAAAACATATTATTGTTTGTCAAAAGCAAATAGAATATAGAATCTTACTTGGAATAATAGACTTCTCTATTGCATCTACATATCACTACAATACAACTATATCTCTTGCTATTAATCAAACCTTTTCCTCATCTAACAGATACCGAAAATTATGCATCATCTAATATGAATATGGGATATCAATAACAATTTGAATTATTTTTCAACATGGTATAATTAAAAAAATGTATACCTCAAGAAGTCATTTCCTTATTGATATGTCAAAATTAAATGCCACTGCAAAGCATTATGCACTTGTTCCCGTGTAAACAACATATTATTTTCATCAAAGAAAGCAAATAAAATGACCAATTCAAATTATTAGTAGCTTCAAACCAATTTCCGTTGTGTGTGTGTGTGAGAGAGAGAGAGAGAGAGAGAGAGAGAGAGAGAGAGAGAGAGAGAGAGAGAGAGACTTACCTTTTTGAAGGTTTGGCAGAGAAGCAATGTCTTCTTTAGTAGTCCCAGAGCGCCAAACATCTACCCCGCTCTTGATTCTGTTCGATACAAGCTTAAGAGTAAAACAAAAATCAACATATTATAAGAGTATGGATCCTAAAAATACAATAAACTTCAATTGCAACACCAAAAACTTCAATTACAGTAAACGTCACATAATGAACTGATCATAATCCGTCTTATATAGCGGAAATAGAGTGTGAACGTGGCTGTGCAGAATCAGATAGTGGCTTCCGTAAACTCGGATAGTGCCTTCTGTATATTGGTTGAAGAAGGAGGACATGGGCAGCAGTTGAATCCAGTCTCCATTCTCAACTGTATTCAACCATGGTAGTTAAAGGGAGATTGGGTAGACGTCTAAGCAGAAGATGCAGGCGTGGTACAGGGACGTTATGTGATAGTTTACACTTTTACTGGGAAACCTACTCTATAAATATCTATGAGGACAAAAGTAGGTAAATGTGAGAAGTTATATATAAAATTAAAGGGTTCTATCTAAAACTAAAGAGTTAATGATATTGTATATAAACCTTATAGTAAATAATTTAATCAAGGGTCTTAAAATTTCTTCATTATCTGGAGCAAATTAGAGGAAACCCAAGACCCCAAGTTTAACAAATGTCCATAAAGCATGAGGAAGCGATATATTCAAAGCAAATATATAAATTTCATCAGGTCGAACCAATAATAAACAAGATTCAACACCGATTTGAAATATATCATAAAGGAGATGGTTATTTTGTTATTTTGTGAATATCCTTTGTTATTTTTCAATATTTGCATACCCTAATAGTAAGATTTTTTTTTTAAAAGGACACTTTCACAGTAGTAAATAAATGCATAAACACACTATGCACACATAAAGATTAACTATCAAAATATATTAATTTCATCATGCTTTATTCGATACTATATGCGTACTACAAAGCGTTCCACCTGAACCCCAAGGTTTAGAAAACGCCCATGATGGATTAGGGAATGATACATTCACTGGAGATATATAAAATCCATCAGATCTTAATTGCCAATAACAATAAACAACACGAAATCCAATCCCTCCAAACCTATCGCACGTTCTTCGCGCAAGTTTAGCAAACGCTTCCAAGCAATCATATGATTGACCCCACCAAAACTCAGCATCAAATGTTGTTGTGCTATCAAGTCTATCACAAAATGACCAATGATAATAACCATTTGAAGTGACATTATGTTTCCCGAGATCATCATCTTTTGATCTAACATGCATAAGAATATTATCAGGAGTACCGTTAATAATATACATCTTCCATTGTGGAGTAAAGAAGCAAGAATTTGTGATGGAAGGGAAGGAAAATGCTAGGATGAGACAAATCAAGAGGCTACGCATTGTATATGACAGGTTTATAAGAAACTTAATTTCATAAATTGTAATAGTTGGTTTTTTATAGACAGTTGGGTTCTCAATCTATCTCATGAGTGGAAATAGTGCACCATGCTAATATTTAAGATGCATTAACTGCTAGTAATGTAAGATAGCAAATTACACAAATTATCCCCGTGGTTTAGCATAATATTTGACTTTCATCCATAGCTATTTTTTCACTCAAACAGTTTCTAAGTTAATCTTTGTTCTGTTGACATTTAAGACACATTAATTGCTAGGGTTCTTGGAGTTTGACATGTGCTCCGATGACTTCTAAAAGTGCATTGGTGAACAACATGGTTTATTTTTGTTGGCGATTAAGATCCAAAAGCATATGCAACATAATGTTTTCCATGTTTTGTGTGAAGTTCATCTTTGTAATATTTGGTTATTATTTATGATATATATATATATATATATATATATATATATATATATATATATATATATATATATATATATATATATATATATATATGATGTGTGTATTACTATTTGTATGTATGTCATCAGGTGAAACCTAATGCTTTCCATGCTTTGTGTGTTATTGGTTATAAAGAGAATTTGATTGTGGTAAAGCTGTACATAAAGTTGATGCATCGTTGGGCTACGTGGCTTTGTCCATAGAAATATACGTTTTAGGTTTTTTCTAGCCTTTGTGTAGGGAATAAAATGATAAGGACGGTGTGTGGGTTTCATGTCGATCTTCTCCGAGATATAAGTTGGAGAACGAAGAGGAATGGAGTGGGTTGTGGACTTAATTATTTTAATAATAATTTAAAAATATCATTAAGGGCAAATCATCATTTTAATGTGATCAGGTGCTACAGTTGAAATATAACCAATCTCAGGGATCTTCTGAATAAAAAACTCTTTATAAGGATGTTATAAGGATGATATCATAGATTAGAACAAATCATGGGGACAATTTATGTAATTTGTACTGTATTTAAGATGAATTGATTGAGACAAATAAGAATATTTATTGTAGCATTTTACAAAATAAAAAATATTATATAATTATGTTGTTTATTAGTTTATATATCTTATCATATATACCTTTAGGGCACACATAATAAATATTAATTATGAGAAATATTACCATAATTAAATGTGAAATACATTAATTATTAAGAATATTATTCATGGAAAATTTAAAATGTGTTAATTATGAAGAATATTCTTTATAACTAAAGTATTTCATATTTAATTATGGTAATATTCCTTATAATTAATATTTCTTACACATGTCTTATGGCACATGTTAGAAAATCACATATATTTATAGCAGACATAGTACGTAGAAAACAAAGTTGTGGAATCTGGCATGATGTCTACATCCATCCTCACAATAGACCCAGGGTTTGTCCTCAGAATTTCATGACCATATGACCATAATCTCCCATAATGTTCAATTAGACTTCCTTCAATTTCTTGTAATGCAAATTTCTTTGCATTTCTGCATTGCCCCACACTCACATTTATATTGAATGTTGTTGAAACTTTAGCTTTCATCTTACTAACACTCATTTTTGGCTTCTCTATAATTTCACTCATAAACTGTTTGCCTAACCACTTATAAGTTACTATGGACCCAAACTTAAACACCCTGCTACAATTATGTTCACTAACTAAAGATTTTATCTGAAAAGTCCTCTCTTTACTCATCCAAGAGGACCAAAGTCTAAATGGACAAGTACGCGACTTGTTTTTTTTGCAACACTTTACTAACAACCTTTGGGAGTCATTTTTTTCAAACCAGAGATCATATCCATTAGCAACTGCATAGTTGCTCAACATGTTTTTAAGCTCATCAGGGTTAGAAAATCGAATACCTAACAGTGGTTTCATCTGATTCCATGGTTGTCTATCATCATGTACAGGGTATTGAGGTTCAACATATTCAACATCTTCATATACATCATCTACATTTAATGTGTGTAGACAAAGTTTGTTTAAGAACCTGTCACCCATGGTTTTGTTGGCTGGGAATGGATATTCAGCATTATCTTCTTCATGGTCAACAGAATAAGTGTCCGACAATATCGAGTCTTCATCCTCTTCACAGCTGTAGTCTTGATCTTCATTTTCCTCTTCCTTAATCCATTCGAAGATTGGTTCATTATAGTGGTCCACATACACATTCATTCTCCTCTCATTTGCATAAGCCAAATCCAAAAATTCTTTGTAATCACCGTCATTCACCGGTGTATGAATTCCATGACTTAAAGACTCTTGTGGAAGGCAGAAGTAGATGTCTTTGCTTCTAGTTCTGGTGAGCTTTTGAAGGAATTCCATGAACTCCTCGTACTCAAATGCACTGAAGTCAACATCTCCTACTGATTGTCTGTCGGGATCAAAGTATACTAATGGGTTGGGTGTAAACGTTCCATTGTAGTGGAAATCCACTACAATGAAGTTTCGATCAGTGGGACATTGTGATGAAGCATTATAGAGACCGATTGAAGATTGAAGGAGAAAAAATCAGGGGTTAATGAGACTTGGTGCCCTAATCGAATTTAAGGACCAAACGAGACTTCACTCTTAACTTTAATGAGTATGGGAGGAAAAATCGGGGCCTACATGCCACCTCATTGGCCACATAGGATAAAAAAGCCACATCAGACCCATCCAATCGTTGAAACCGGCTATAATCAGTCATAGGGGGAAAATTTACACGAATCAACAAGTTAAATGGCTATTAGAGCACAAAAATAAGTTTAATGACCAAATGTGACCAAAAGCAATAGCATGTTACCCTCTCAAGTCATTATCCCAAAATAACATTCATTTGCAAAATATAACATTAGGGCCGGCCCTGACATTGGCAACTCAGGCGACCGCCCATGGTACACGTCTCTAAGTGGGCCAAAATTTATGGTCTATATATTGTATACATGTAAACAATTATGTACACATTTCTTAGGGGCCCAATTACCAGATTCCCAATTTAGCCCAAACTCAAATTAGCCCAAACTCAAGTTAGCCCAAAAATAAAGAAATTGGTTCGGGACGGGGTATGATTTCCCAAACCCGCTCCGATATCTTTCGGGTATCTTATTGGGGAGCCCATCAGGTTTCGGGTTTTCCCGTCGGGTTTTGGGTAAATTATCGGGTTTACAACAATTCATAATGAAATCTTTATTCCGTTTTAGGGTACCCCAATGTCTTATAAAACATACATGTTACAGCCTCCCTTTTAAATTAAAAATATGATGCATTAGTTTATTTTATAAACTGAACGTTATATTAAAAAATTATTTGATTTAAGTTTAGTGAAATATGTCAAAACATAAAAAATGATCATTCACAGCAGAATGTTATATATATATATATATATATATATATATATATATATATATATATATATATATATATATATATATATATATATAATCGGGGCGGGGCGGGGATAACCCACACCCTGCCCCGAACCCAATAAAAAACCCAATAACGACCTGTTACCCGACCAGAAATGATCGGGTTTCGGGTTTCCCCGTCGGGTTCGGGCTTTTTTGCCATCCCTCGGTTTGTTCGATGTTCGATGATAGATGAATGCGCATCTAGAATGGTCAAGAACAAATGAAGCTCCAAAGCGGGAATTAAAAAGCCTTGTGAATATAATCGACATCATCGATAATGGTAACTGAATCGTGATATACATCAGGCGGGAACTCGTGCATCGTCGACGTCATGATGTCGCCCTCTCCCCTTGACATAAGAACTTAGAAGTGCATTCAACTATCGCTTCTAGAATCGTTATTCTCTCTTGCTTCACTCGTCATTTACTCTTCTCTCTTACACTCACAATTGACTTCTCTATGCTTCCCACTCTGGTTTTTCTCATACTTTACTCCTCATGCTCGTTTCTCTCAAACTTTCTCACAATCCGTCATTCGTCTTCTACCTCTCAATCTCGATTCTTAACCACACCATCTTCTTTTGAATTTATGTTGATTCCAGAATTGTTAGGACTTATCTAGATAACTTTAAGGTATGATTTTTGTTTCTGAAAGCTTATAGATTTGTATATCGTTTTTTTCTTTTAGATTTTTGAATTTGATTTTTTCTTATCAATCTAAGTTTGTATATCATATTTCTTTTTCTGAAAGATTATAATCTTTGTTTCTGATTTTTGTTTGTACATGAAATCTGTAAAGTTTATTATTACAGGAACAGTGAAATGCATTGCCCTAAGTTTCAGATTTTTCACCCATCAAGGTAAAATGTTTTCTGATTTGTTCCAAATATTCTACAATATTATGATGCTTGTTTCTGATTTGTATCTTTCAAAGTTTCAGCTTCAAATATTAGATTTCTGATTTGATAAGATAATATATTAATCAGAATTTTAGGTTATCAGTTTTTTTTTGCTTTTACTTTATCTATCATTTTGTACGACTTTTATTATTGATTTTATTTACTAGCTTACTTTAATATTAAGCTTCCACTAAGATAGAAATCGGGTGTACTAATTTCTTGAAATAGTCTATAGTTATGAATAATAACATAGTTGTTAACTCGTGACTCGATGCGTGACTTGAAAATATAAAATTTTGACTCGTGACTCGGATCGAGACTCGACTCGAAAGATTCATGATATTTACAAAGATTATATATAAATATATAATACATATATAAAACATAATATTCATTGAATATTAATGAACATCTATTATATTTCGTGGCCTAGAGTGTTAAAAAATAGTAGAGCAGGGGCTAATATAAACATGTGGTGAAAGTTGGAGTATAAATTTAGTATAGATGTTGATATATAAAGAAAAATGCATTTAGGGTTATAACATCTTTTCTGCAGGTCTTCACTCTTGATGCACTCTCACCTAACTTTTTCTTTCTACAAGTTCATCTGTTCATGGGTTCAAATCTGAAGATCTTCAGCTCTACGTTCGAATCTGAAGATCTTAACCTCTACACTCTCGTATTTTATTTAAACTTTTTTCTGTTAGCACCTCTAATCCACACTCCTACATTCTTGGTCTTCTCCCCAATGTTCTTAACAATTCTCAGACTAGTAGTCAAGAAAAAAATCGTTATTAACCGCTAGATAATTTGTTTACCCACCGGATCATGTGATTATCTACGACACGCAATACTCGTCTGAGTCACGAGTTGACTCGACTTGGTACGAATTGGACAAGGACTTGTAAATTTTGACCGAGTCATACCTAAAACTGAGTCATACACCGAGTCACCTCGTTTTGGGTATAAAATGAGTCGACTCGTGACTCGAACGAGATTGACAACTATGGATAATAATAAAATGTTTCATAAAGTTTGTTGCTACATTTTGTAATGACAATGTATGCGATGTGGTATGAAATTATCTTTTTTTTCTGAATCAAAGTGATTGTTATCCAAATGTTTTTATAGCATATAACATCTTATTAACCATGCATGTTACTGTTGCATTTGAATCGATAATTTTTTTCAAAACTGAAGTTATTAAAGAAAATTGCATAAGAAATATTGAATGGTTTGACAATATTATGTATAAAGAAATATATGTTAGATAAATTGATAGTATTATCAATGATTTTGCATATAAAAAAGTTAGAAAATTACTATCCTTTAAATATGTTATTTTTTTATAGATATTATGGTTATATTTGTGTTATTGATGATATTATTAGTTTATTTTTATTGATGTCTTTTTTCAAATCTTTATTATATTTGACGTTGAGGGCCCTTCTTTTCTTCTCGCCCCGGGTCCAATATATGTTTGGACTGGCCGTGTATAACATACATTAAAGGGAAAATTTCCTATATATCCTTGCAAACTCAAAATATTACTTCAGTATCCTTACAAACTTTGAAATTACACCTATATCCATCCAAAACTATAAAAATTACATACATATCCAAAATCATATTTTAATTAGAATTATATCAATTTTTATTAACTTTTTTTTTATCTAATATTCAAAATTATATATTAGTTTACCAAAATACCGTTTTCTAATTAAATTCCAAATTAAATCACAAACCTTCAATAGTGGTATATCGTCTTCTTAGTTCATCTCAATCCAAAATGAAATGGGACCATAGTTTGAAATGGGGTTATGGATTGGGATTTTATGAGTACTACACTCTGCATCCCCTTATAAAACCCAACATAGCAACCTTTCCCGAAAAACACTCATATATACATTACTTCAACCAAACAACAATATTATATTAAGAATCCATACAAAATTGGAAGAAGCCATGCCAACGTCCTCGTAAGATGAAGAATTAAGAATCTAATTCTATTAGGAAAAGAATTAAAACCCTTACCTTGGTCAGCTTCATAAAAAAATGCACATAGAAAGAAAATCCTTAAACATATTTAGATAATAGCTCTTCGGCATATTTTCAATCTCACCACCAACCATCTCCATTGAGAACTAATTGTGGGAACGAAACATATAAAAGATTAAGCCATAAGTTTTCGATAAACCACAAAGGTCAAAGAATTGCTCATAAAAATAGATTAAGCCTTGTCCACTCCTAATAAACTTCCTATAAGTAATAAAGATTTTGCTTGGGGCTGGAAATTAACAGACACAAAAGGATCCAATGGGAATATCAATTTGGTAAATTCGATTCTTGAGGCCAAATGTACCAAACTCTCAAAGTACAGTTACCAGAAACGAAGGCAATACACAAAAACTATATCAATGGAAAAATCCAACCGTAAATTATACACATATCAGTACAACACAACACAAATTAAACCATCCAAAATCAATTACTTCACTAATTAAGCATCTAATTCTGAATATATTATAACAAAGCATAAACCGAGAAACCAATATTCAGCCATTGACGACCGATCATAATAATGAGGAGTAGTCGCCCCACTGGTTATTCGAAGTAGCATGAGAGGAAACAGAGGCATGGAGGTTTACCGGTGGTGGTAGTTGATAGAGCAAGGAAGAAGAAGGTGAGGGAGATGGTATGTTGAATTGACCGAGAGAGATGTATTGAAGTAATAAAGAAGAGGGCATAATCGATGGAAGAAAGATAAAAGGGCAATTTGGTAAACTAGTACATAATTCTGAATATTGTATAAAATATTTAATAAAAAATTGATATAAATCTAATTAAAATATAATTTTGGATATGTATGTAATCTTTATAGTTTTGGATGGATATAGGTGTAAACATGGGTGAAGGAGTTTCGAACCTTAGGCATTCTTACACACGTATCTAATATGGATGTACATGTCAACATGGGTGAAGGAGTTTCGAACACAGAAAACCTCGTGTCTACTCAAGGTATTTTCGAAACATCTATC